CTGTTTTGTTATTTTTGTCATGCTACAATATTCACATTTTTCAAAATTATTGTGTAACTTAGGTAATAAACCTATATGATGCATATTTTTGAAATATTTGCTATTAACATAACAAAGACGAGCATGTCACATATTCACACAAGAAACAATGTAAACGGAAGAAGTAGTTTTATTTATTTCAACATTCAGCTTAAACATGTCATCACAAGCATAACCTTTCCCAACAAATGACCCATTCTTGGTCAAAACAAATTAATCAGATTCTATGGTTTGTTTGAAACCAGTTTTATTTAAAAGATAACCAAAAACTAAATTCTTTCTAATTTCAGGAGTGTGAAAAGCATCTCTTAGGGTCAAAACTCGGCTAGAGGTAAATTTGAATTAGACATCTCCCATGCCCAAAACACTCATAGTATGTGAATCACCAAGTAACACTTTTTTATCAATTTCAACAGGAGAGTCAGATTTGAACTAAGATTTATCATGATAAACATGCTTGGAAGCTCCAAAATTTGTCTACCACCTTTTAATATTCTCAATAAAATTAACCTCAATAATCATGGCAACAAATGGTTCCTCGGTCACATTGGCTTGAGGCACATAACCTCAGTTTTTAAAACGACAATCTTTTGCAAAATGACCAAATTTTCAAAATGAAACCCTATTAAATCTTTTCATGTTATTACCTCTAAGCTTCAAATAGACACTGTTTCTAGTTTTTTGACCCTTAGAGATGTTATCATTAGATGTAATAAAATGTACCTTATTGTGTCGAGCCATTAGATTCACACGCTAGTCCCACCCCTGTGCACGTGAGAGTCTCAAAATCTCTCTTTAACACTAGTGTGTGTGTATATATATATTCAAGTACCTATGGATATTTAGTCGATGTGAGATTGAGTTTCCACACATAAAAAACACTATTTTAGTTAAAATATTCTAACATGTAGAAATTTGTAACCTAACCTAGTTCGGTTGCCAAACTCATAAAACCTACAAGAACAATCCTCCCATTTCACTATGATTTTGTTTTTTGAGATATCCACACACACACACACGCTCTCTCTCTCTCTCAATTCAAATAAACATGACAAAATTTAGTTGTACTCGAGCGATTATATAATAAAATTTAGGTGAAATAAGTAATTGTTTGTGGACTTATATTAATGTTATTTAACATACAAACTTGAATATAATTTTGTGATTGTTCTGAAAATAAAAGGTACTACAATTTATTGGCAAATTTGATTTGGATAGGTTCAATATCACTAAAATTTGACATTAATGATAACTAATCAAATTATCCCATCAAATCAAAAATTCTAATCACTTCGTTGCTCTGCCCCCTCTCCTCCGGATCGAATTCTAGCTCCATATACTTGTTCATGATGAGAATCACGCAACCAATCACATCATCCATGGAAGCTTTCAAAATCTTCATCCATGCAAACTTCAAGATCTTGATATGTTCAAATGAGACAACATAATGCCATCACATTATTGACCACCCGATTCTCATTGCATGTACGAAATATAAATTCAAGACATTTCTTACACAAGGGTACACATGTAACCCTACAATCTTACAACCTTAATTACCTTTGGCATTATTTGCCCAAAATGTTATTTTCATTCTCGAACCTTCATCGTTTCATAATTGAAAGGTAATTGAGTGAGGGAGAGAGAGAGAGAGAGAGAGAGACAGATTATAAGAGAATGGTCTGAGTTGCACCACGTCCCTCTTTGACTTTCCCCACGTGCTTGTCTCCATTTTTGGCTGTGGGTTTGCCTGACACGGTGTGTTAAAGCANTTATTTCAACATTCAGCTTAAACATGTCATCACAAGCATAACCTTTCCCAACAAATGACCCATTCTTGGTCAAAACAAATTAATCAGATTCTATGGTTTGTTTGAAACCAGTTTTATTTAAAAGATAACCAAAAACTAAATTCTTTCTAATTTCAGGAGTGTGAAAAGCATCTCTTAGGGTCAAAACTCGGCTAGAGGTAAATTTGAATTAGACATCTCCCATGCCCAAAACACTCATAGTATGTGAATCACCAAGTAACACTTTTTTATCAATTTCAACAGGAGAGTCAGATTTGAACTAAGATTTATCATGATAAACATGCTTGGAAGCTCCAAAATTTGTCTACCACCTTTTAATATTCTCAATAAAATTAACCTCAATAATCATGGCAACAAATGGTTCCTCGGTCACATTGGCTTGAGGCACATAACCTCAGTTTTTAAAACGACAATCTTTTGCAAAATGACCAAATTTTCAAAATGAAACCCTATTAAATCTTTTCATGTTATTACCTCTAAGCTTCAAATAGACACTGTTTCTAGTTTTTTGACCCTTAGAGATGTTATCATTAGATGTAATAAAATGTACCTTATTGTGTCGAGCCATTAGATTCACACGCTAGTCCCACCCCTGTGCACGTGAGAGTCTCAAAATCTCTCTTTAACACTAGTGTGTGTGTATATATATATTCAAGTACCTATGGATATTTAGTCGATGTGAGATTGAGTTTCCACACATAAAAACACTATTTTAGTTAAAATATTCTAACATGTAGAAATTTGTAACCTAACCTAGTTCGGTTGCCAAACTCATAAAACCTACAAGAACAATCCTCCCATTTCACTATGATTTTGTTTTTTGAGATATCCACACACACACACACACTCTCTCTCTCTCTCAATTCAAATAAACATGACAAAATTTAGTTGTACTCGAGCGATTATATAATAAAATTTAGGTGAAATAAGTAATTGTTTGTGGACTTATATTAATGTTATTTAACATACAAACTTGAATATAATTTTGTGATTGTTCTGAAAATAAAAGGTACTACAATTTATTGGCAAATTTGATTTGGATAGGTTCAATATCACTAAAATTTGACATTAATGATAACTAATCAAATTATCCCATCAAATCAAAAATTCTAATCACTTCGTTGCTCTGCCCCCTCTCCTCCGGATCGAATTCTAGCTCCATATACTTGTTCATGATGAGAATCACGCAACCAATCACATCATCCATGGAAGCTTTCAAAATCTTCATCCATGCAAACTTCAAGATCTTGATATGTTCAAATGAGACAACATAATGCCATCACATTATTGACCACCCGATTCTCATTGCATGTACGAAATATAAATTCAAGACATTTCTTACACAAGGGTACACATGTAACCCTACAATCTTACAACCTTAATTACCTTTGGCATTATTTGCCCAAAATGTTATTTTCATTCTCGAACCTTCATCGTTTCATAATTGAAAGGTAATTGAGTGAGGGAGAGAGAGAGAGAGAGAGAGAGACAGATTATAAGAGAATGGTCTGAGTTGCACCACGTCCCTCTTTGACTTTCCCCACGTGCTTGTCTCCATTTTTGGCTGTGGGTTTGCCTGACACGGTGTGTTAAAGCATCAAGGGGAGGCCATTACAAATATATAATTGATCTTATTGATATGATAAGAATATATGAAGTTAGATGCTAAAATAAGAGAGATTTGGGCGGTGAAGTTTGTTTTTTTCTTTTTTTTCATTGAATTTTATCATCCCTTTACAGAGCAAACCATCTAGGGTGGCAACTGAGTACTTTGGTGGTGAATGAGGGTGAATCTTTAAAACTGTAAAATCTAAAATGCTTCAAGTTGTGTATAAATATTATCCAAAAAAATAATATTTGTCTCTACCAGAAACTCATTAAGGTATTCAAATAAAAAATCTGTAAACCTGTTTTCAAGATACAATAAAACATCGAATATGTTTGTGTCTTAAACAAACAAAAATAAAACTTGAATATGTTCAAAGACTATAGGTGTTCTTTGAAAGAATGTAATTGCAATGGAGCATAATGAGAAATGCAGATCTTTGCGCGCGAGCACGATAGTGCTTCAGATCATGTCCTGGGGTAATCGGGCATAGTGATTTTTTTTAGTATAAGAAGACGCGTTTACTCCAATATCTTTTTTATATACTCATCAAAATTTTCTCCATTTCTCAATGTATGATAAGTTTCAAAAGCAACCTTACATTTTCTCAGAGGCACATGAGTTTTTTAAAAACACCCACCCACAAAAAATAAGTATCACTTTCTAATCATGTTATTATGAGTTTGTATTGTGTTTATACTAATAAAAAGGCCATTTAATCATAAAGCAATTTGTATTAATTAGATCAAGAAATAATAAATAAAATAAATAAATATTTTTTTCCTACAACGCCATTTACTTAAATTATTACTTATCTATTATTAATATTAATTGATCGTGTCAAATCGAATACATGTATTAATGTGTAAAATTTACTTCCCTTAACCACTAGTGATGAAGTGTTGGGCCAAATTCACTCTTTGTAATCCAAAGGAAGGAGGCCACCTTTTGATAACAATGTAAATTTCCCACAGTAAGGACCCACTGCAAGTTGGTTCTTTTGGAGGGCTGAAGGGAGAAGGAAAAGGACCAAAGGATAATGACACCTTCACGAGATGGCCAATCCAACCAATTAGATGGGCATTAATTCCAGATATAAGTTTGCCATTATTTTGTTTTGTCATTTGGGGGGGGGTCCTAGTGGTGATATGAACACAAACATCTCTCTCTCTGTCCCACACACACGCACGTTAATGTGCCTCGTGTATGTGAGGTTGCACGTGTGATACGGTGCACGGTGGTGGATCGGGTGGTTTTGGTTAGGGGGGTTGTTTCTCGAGTCAAGTTTGGGTTGACAACATGTTAAGCCCATCTCACCTCGATACCAATCAAATTTAGAAAGAATCCGTCAAATGGCAGCAGCTACTGGATTTCTGGTGAATCACTCTCTCAATTATTTGCTTGAAACTCATTCACATCAACATCATGTATTTATTTTTGATTAAATTTAAGTTCAATATATTGGGTCGACACGAACACGGATATATAGGAAATTTTGCAAAATATCAAACAGTTGGTGGGAATTAGCAACATTCAGTATCAGCTCAGCTACAAGTACAGCCACTAGAACCAGCAGCTGAGTTCTTCCTTTCTTCCATCTTCCTCATCTTGACATCATCAATAACATTTCTTGCCCACTCAGCAAAATAGGTCTCATTGTGTCCAATTCTGCCATTTTTGTAGATGGACATGCACCTGCGATCGTCCTCCGGGAAGGGGCAATCGTCCCCGGTCGGGTCTCGCCACGCTCCCCGGTGTATCATGCCGGACCAGCTAGCAATCCAATGGTAGACATACTGACCTACACCAGCCAGTTTTAACCATCCCTTGGGGAAGAATTCCATAACACTGCTGTTTCTATCCATTAGGAACATGTTAGTTAATTGAGCCCCATGTGGAGAGACCAAAATGTCAGTTGAACTCATCAGCTTCACCTATAGAATTCCCCAAAAAAAATTTAAAATAAAATATTTATCAACTTCACCTGCAGATTTTCGATGAAGGATTTTTGTAATTGTCGCGAAATTTACGACACATTAAATAACGATACAATTCAAACTAAATTTTTTCAAATAATTATTTAATTTCTCTAATATATATATATACAAAAATCAATCTAATAAGATAACTAAATTTGTAAATTTATGGGATATATTTTTTCCCTAAAATTTCACACCCAGCAGTAGCACACACTCTCCCTCCAAAATTTTACAAACCCAACACAGACACTCCGCAACACATAGTTGCACACACATTCACATACTCCAACACACACGCGCGTGCATAAACACACACACTCATTCTATACACATTCCAACTATACACACACTGTAATATACGATAAATGTTATAGCTCTGTATATAATGACTTTAATCACGGGTATCGCTAGTATATAAATATTTCAGATTGGAACATAATTAGATTGATTGTACTTGATCGAATATAGGTATATCTAAATCTAAATTCATGAAATATAAGATATAAGATTATAATTTGGGTTCGGATAATCGGTAAAAAATACAAATCCACGTCCGACTAATGGGATTCGAGTTCGGATTAATATCCAGTTCATTAACTGGCCTACACTCACGGGTGGGGGTGGTTCGAATGGCCCATCCAGAAACTCGGCCAAAAAAAACTAACCCATCACCGCTCTGGACTGAGCCTGGACTAGGCTCTTCGGCCTATGAGCTGGTCTAATTTTATATAAGCTTCATTTGTTTTTTGTTTAAAAATACAGAAATGTAACATGAATATATAAAATAAATTTAATAATTACAATCATTAATTTTACTGTAGGTCTTAGCATTTATTGAGACCTACTACCTATGCAATAGTTGTGATTATTAAATCTAATTTTTAAGTCTATGTAGTATTACTAAAAATATATTGTGTTGTATACATTTACTGTTTTCAATTATAGAAAAACCAAACATGTATTACATTAAAAAAAATTTAGAAAAATAAATCAAATTTTAAGGGAATACAAAAGAGTGGAAACGAATTGAAATTGAGTAGGTTGATTGTCCTTTATATTGGTGCACAGTGCACTTTGATTTGCTTTTCTTTATTCAGAGTTCCATGTGCATTTGGGACTTAATTTGGAGATTAAATTTGGGTGATTTAAATTTTTTTATATCCTTTTTTTTTTATTTCATTATCTTTCTTAATAAATCACCCATCATTAATAAGTGAAGGGCTCACTTATATACAATGAGTTCCATTTAAATTCATACTTGGAAGATCTACCAAATATAAAAATAGAGAGAAAATACATTTGAGGGGATCTCACTTTTAAGTTAAGAATTCAATGTATTGTGGTGTTCAACATTAAATTGACTAGCTTATCAATCTAATAGTAATAACGTGATGAACTGAGTTCTCACTAATTTTCTTCTTAATGAATCACATAGTATACATTCAAATTCGACTCATTATATACAAGTGAGTCTAATCTATTAATAATAGATGATTACGGTGTACTCAGTGCACGAGTTTCCCGTCATTATAGGGTCTGAAGAGGTTTAAATGTACTTAATTTTATTTTTGTAAGCAAAGAAACTGTTTTTACAATTCAAACTTGTGATCTTCAGATCACAATGGAGCAACCTTAGCGTTGATAATGGATAATTAATTAGAGGAAAAAAGGATAAGAAGAATTTGAATCCCATTGTGATTAGGTACTAGAATAGATCTAGTAAACTCTCCTTCCTAATGAATTTGTGCTGGATGAACAGACTCTTTGTCGAAAGGAGGACAAAAACCCACTAAGAACTATTAGCAGAAAGTGGCACTACTACAAGGTCCACATCCCCAACCTTCCAACAGCCACTATCTCCACCAAAACTTCCACTAGTCTTACACAAGTTGCTTTGGATATTTATTTATTGAATATATTTTTCTTATATTTTTTACAATGATAATTTACGGATTCAAGTAAGTTTCCTTGTATATAAGTAGATCATTGGTAGACAGTCCCGTTGAAAGAAATTAAAACAATTATATTAGAAGAGATCCAAATCTGATTACTCTCACCACCACCTCGACTCAAGCAAATATATGTGTATAAAAATACAAATACATATCTATACATATGCACATATGTGTGTGTGTGAAAAAAAGAAAAAGAAAATTATTTGAAAGAAAAATGATGAACACTGAATATGGTCAGACACTAACCTGTTCACAGAAGGTGAGATTATTGGAGTAAGCCACCATCAACCGGCACCCCTCCACCTTCCGGCACTCCCTCTCAAAGATTCCAACCACCGCCGACTCATTCCTAAACGATCTCGGCCCAGTCCTCATGAACATGGTCATCCCAATCAGTGGCGGCGCCGCCCCACCGTCCACCTCCACACTCCCACCACAAAATGCCCTAGCCTTACACCTCATCTGATCATAAACCTCTACCCTCCTTAGCCTAGACATGCCTCCCTCATTGTGCCTCATCACCACAGCCTCCTCAAAACAAACAGCTCCACCATCTTCAAACCCTTCAATCTCTAGTGGTTCTCCAAACGTAGACGCCATTAAAGACCTCAGCCAAGGTCCCATCTGGGTCCTTAGCTCACCCCAGTGGTATAAAACCCACCGGTCAGGCGCAGCGCAGCCGGACTTTATATGCCAGGCCACAAATGGCACCATAGCTGATAAACCATGCCATATGTTATCATAGTTGTAGTGATTGTATGACACAAAAGTGAGACCCTTCTTCAGGGTTGAATTGTGAGGTAGGGTTTCAGGCCATGCAAGCGCATAGTAATTCCATGCACCATCATGTTTATCTCTTCCCTTTAGACATAAAACCCTACCTTTTGATGCTTTTGAAGGGAAGTGTTGGTACTGAACTTCACCTTCTTCATGTGAGTCATTCATGGAGCTCATGAACCACGTGTGGCCTTGTTGGGCTGTTGTAGAGTAACGTAGGTCTTTTAAGGGGAGAAACGTGACCGAGTCTTTGAGCTTGGAGGACATGGATTTGAGTTTGAGGTCATTGTCANACACGCACGTTAATGTGCCTCGTGTATGTGAGGTTGCACGTGTGATACGGTGCACGGTGGTGGATCGGGTGGTTTTGGTTAGGGGGGTTGTTTCTCGAGTCAAGTTTGGGTTGACAACATGTTAAGCCCATCTCACCTCGATACCAATCAAATTTAGAAAGAATCCGTCAAATGGCAGCAGCTACTGGATTTCTGGTGAATCACTCTCTCAATTATTTGCTTGAAACTCATTCACATCAACATCATGTATTTATTTTTGATTAAATTTAAGTTCAATATATTGGGTCGACACGAACACGGATATATAGGAAATTTTGCAAAATATCAAACAGTTGGTGGGAATTAGCAACATTCAGTATCAGCTCAGCTACAAGTACAGCCACTAGAACCAGCAGCTGAGTTCTTCCTTTCTTCCATCTTCCTCATCTTGACATCATCAATAACATTTCTTGCCCACTCAGCAAAATAGGTCTCATTGTGTCCAATTCTGCCATTTTTGTAGATGGACATGCACCTGCGATCGTCCTCCGGGAAGGGGCAATCGTCCCCGGTCGGGTCTCGCCACGCTCCCCGGTGTATCATGCCGGACCAGCTAGCAATCCAATGGTAGACATACTGACCTACACCAGCCAGTTTTAACCATCCCTTGGGGAAGAATTCCATAACACTGCTGTTTCTATCCATTAGGAACATGTTAGTTAATTGAGCCCCATGTGGAGAGACCAAAATGTCAGTTGAACTCATCAGCTTCACCTATAGAATTCCCCAAAAAAAATTTAAAATAAAATATTTATCAACTTCACCTGCAGATTTTCGATGAAGGATTTTTGTAATTGTCGCGAAATTTACGACACATTAAATAACGATACAATTCAAACTAAATTTTTTCAAATAATTATTTAATTTCTCTAATATATATATATACAAAAATCAATCTAATAAGATAACTAAATTTGTAAATTTATGGGATATATTTTTTCCCTAAAATTTCACACCNTCAAACGTGATAGACCATGAATGAGTGGGTTGATCTTTTGAACTAAATTTTTTCAAATAATTATTTAATTTCTCTAATATATATATATACAAAAATCAATCTAATAAGATAACTAAATTTGTAAATTTATGGGATATATTTTTTCCCTAAAATTTCACACCCAGCAGTAGCACACACTCTCCCTTCAAAATTTTACAAACCCAACACAGACACTCCGCAACACATAGTTGCACACACATTCACATACTCCAACACACACGCGCGTGCATAAACACACACACTCATTCTATACACATTCCAACTATACACACACTGTAATATACGATAAATGTTATAGCTCTGTATATAATGACTTTAATCACGGGTATCGCTAGTATATAAATATTTCAGATTGGAACATAATTAGATTGATTGTACTTGATCGAATATAGGTATATCTAAATCTAAATTCATGAAATATAAGATATAAGATTATAATTTGGGTTCGGATAATCGGTAAAAAATACAAATCCACGTCCGACTAATGGGATTCGAGTTCGGATTAATATCCAGTTCATTAACTGGCCTACACTCACGGGTGGGTGTGGTTCAAATGGCCCATCCAGAAACTCGGCCAAAAAAAATTAACCCATCACCGCTCTGGACTGAGCCTGGACTAGGTTCTTCGGCCTATGAGCTGGTCTAATTATATATAAGCTTCATTTGTTTTTTGTTTAAAAATACAGAAATGTAACATGAATATAAAAAATAAATTTAATAATTACAATCATTAATTTTACTGTAGGTTTTAGCATTTATTGAGATCTACTACCTATGCAATAGTTGTGATTATTAAATCTAATTTTTAAGTCTATGTAGTATTACTCAAAATATATTGTGTTGTATACATTTACTGTTTTCAATTATAAAAAAACCAAACATGTATTACATTAAAAAAATTTAGAAAAATAAATCAAATTTTAAGGGAATACAAAAGAGTGGAAACGAATTGAAATTGAGTAGGTTGATTGTCCTTTATATTGGTGCACAGTGCACTTTGATTTGCTTTTCTTTATTCAGAGTTCCATGTGCATTTGGGACTTAATTTGGAGATTAAATTTGGGTGATTTAAATTTTTTTATATCCTTTTTTTTTATTTCATTATCTTTCTTAATAAATCACCCATCATTAATAAGTGAAGGGCTCACTTATATACAATGAGTTCCATTTAAATTCATACTTGAAGATCTACCAAATATAAAAATAGAGAGAAAATACATTTGAGGGGATCTCACTTTTAAGTTAAGAATTCAATGTATTGTGGTGTTCAACATTAAATTGACTAGCTTATCAATCTAATAGTAATAACGTGATGAACTGAGTTCTCACTAATTTTCTTCTTAATGAATCACATAGTATACATTCAAATTCGACTCATTATATACAAGTGAGTCTAATCTATTAATAATAGATGATTACGGTGTACTCAGTGCACGAGTTTCCCGTCATTATAGGGTCTGAAGAGGTTTAAATGTACTTAATTTTATTTTTGTAAGCAAAGAAACTGTTTTTACAATTCAAACTTGTGATCTTCAGATCACAATGGAGCAACCTTAGCGTTGATAATGGATAATTAATTAGAGGAAAAAAGGATAAGAAGAATTTGAATCCCATTGTGATTAGGTACTAGAATAGATCTAGTAAACTCTCCTTCCTAATGAATTTGTGCTGGATGAACAGACTCTTTGTCGAAAGGAGGACAAAAACCCACTAAGAACTATTAGCAGAAAGTGNTGGGATTCGAGTTCGGATTAATATCCAGTTCATTAACTGGCCTACACTCACGGGTGGGTGTGGTTCAAATGGCCCATCCAGAAACTCGGCCAAAAAAAATTAACCCATCACCGCTCTGGACTGAGCCTGGACTAGGTTCTTCGGCCTATGAGCTGGTCTAATTATATATAAGCTTCATTTGTTTTTTGTTTAAAAATACAGAAATGTAACATGAATATAAAAAATAAATTTAATAATTACAATCATTAATTTTACTGTAGGTTTTAGCATTTATTGAGATCTACTACCTATGCAATAGTTGTGATTATTAAATCTAATTTTTAAGTCTATGTAGTATTACTCAAAATATATTGTGTTGTATACATTTACTGTTTTCAATTATAAAAAAACCAAACATGTATTACATTAAAAAAATTTAGAAAAATAAATCAAATTTTAAGGGAATACAAAAGAGTGGAAACGAATTGAAATTGAGTAGGTTGATTGTCCTTTATATTGGTGCACAGTGCACTTTGATTTGCTTTTCTTTATTCAGAGTTCCATGTGCATTTGGGACTTAATTTGGAGATTAAATTTGGGTGATTTAAATTTTTTTATATCCTTTTTTTTTATTTCATTATCTTTCTTAATAAATCACCCATCATTAATAAGTGAAGGGCTCACTTATATACAATGAGTTCCATTTAAATTCATACTTGGAAGATCTACCAAATATAAAAATAGAGAGAAAATACATTTGAGGGGATCTCACTTTTAAGTTAAGAATTCAATGTATTGTGGTGTTCAACATTAAATTGACTAGCTTATCAATCTAATAGTAATAACGTGATGAACTGAGTTCTCACTAATTTTCTTCTTAATGAATCACATAGTATACATTCAAATTCGACTCATTATATACAAGTGAGTCTAATCTATTAATAATGGATGATTACGGCGTATTCAGTGCACGAGCTTCCCCTCATTATAGGGTCTGAAGAGGTTTAAATGTACGCAATTTTATTCTTGTAAGCAGAGAGACTATTTTTACGATTCAAACTTGTGATCTTCAGATCACAATGGAGCAACCTTGGCGTTGATAATGGATAATTAATTAGAGAAAAAAAGGATAAGAAGAATTTGAATCCCATTGTGATTAGGTACTAGAATAGATCTANTCAGGGTTGAATTGTGAGGTAGGGTTTCAGGCCATGCAAGCGCATAGTAATTCCATGCACCATCATGTTTATCTCTCCCCTTTAGACATAAAACCCTACCTTTTGATGCTTTTGAAGGGAAGTGTTGGTACTGAACTTCACCTTCTTCATGTGAGTCATTCATGGAGCTCATGAACCACGTGTGGCCTTGTTGGGCTGTTGTAGAGTAACGTAGGTCTTTTAAGGGGAGAAACGTGACCGAGTCTTTGAGCTTGGAGGACATGGATTTGAGTTTGAGGTCATTGTCATGGGTAGTGCTGTTATGGAAGGTTTGGGCTGTGTTGATGATGTTCTTCTGCCATTGTTGCATAAAAGAGAAGGAGGGTGGTGATGAGGAAGGTGGTGGAAGGTGTAGGGATTGGATGTGGAATAGAATGAAGAGGGTGACACAGGTGGCTAGGAGGAAGACAGAGAGTTTTGGTGAGTAGAGAGAGAAAGGTGAGATGGTGCGTGGAGGTGATTTGGTGTAGTAGGGTTTGGTGGAGGAGGAAGTGGTGGTGGTGGTGGTTCTCTCTGGTTCTGAGACTATTTTGGCCATGGTGTGTGAATAAAAGTTGGTGAAATTTGATCTGTTGGGAAAGATGATCGATGGGTTTGAATTGGATTGATTTCGGCAACTTGGGTATTATCTCTCTCTCTCTCTCTTGTTTCAGCAGAAACTGTGAGCGCTGTAGGGATTTGACCGCCCTATAAGTTAATAAGTCTGCAAAAGTTTGTGCAAAAAAGAAAAAGGAAAAATGATAAAGATAGGAAAAGTGTGGTATGCAAATTGATTGATTTTCATTTCGAACGGAATAAAAGACGTGGAAAAGAGTAAAGTTAAAATCATTTAACTTTATTACAGATGGGGGTTTAATATTCAAATCTTATCACCATTCCGATTATTAAATTTTTTTTATCGTATTAGGTTAAAAATATAGTCTGCACATGAGATTCTTTGTTAAAGTACATTCAATTTAATAATTTAAAATAAATTAGATGGTAGTTTAATGTCATATTCAAGTCGCTCCTATGCTCTTCAAAATCATTCCTAGTTAGGTTATAAGCTCAAGATGTTACTTGAATTTACAATATAATCAACATTTTTTTAATAGCCAAAAACCCTTGCAACGTTGAGACCAAAAATTGGAATACGTGTACTAACTCATAAATTAGGTGCATCTCATCTAATCAGAACACCTGTTATAAAATTTGAACTTGGAACATCTTTGTATTGACCATTAATTCAAGCCTAAACTTTAAAAAAAAAAAATTAAGAAAGCAACATGATGGGTCCAAATATACACCTGCTTCTTGGTGATCACAAGTACACAGAATGTGTGTGTGTGTTAAAAACTAATAATGAATGTTCAATCTTAATGCCTACTTTATTGATCCAAAGTTGGTCGGGATGCCAAAAGACATNTTAAAGAAGTTGCTGTTTAACATGTATTAGTATTACAGATGGGGGTTTAATATTCAAATCTTATCACCATTCCGATTATTAAAATTTTTTTATCGTATTAGGTTAAAAATATAGTCTGCACATGAGATTCTTTGTTAAAGTACATTCAATTTAATAATTTAAAATAAATTAGATGGTAGTTTAATGTCATATTCAAGTCGCTCCTATGCTCTTCAAAAACATTCATAGTTAGGTTATAAGCTCAAGATGTTACTTGAATTTACAATATAATCAACATTTTTTAATAGCCAAAAACCCTTGCAAAGTTGAGGCCAAAAATTGGAATACGTGCAATAACTCATAAATTAGGTGCATCTCATCTAATCAGAACACCTGTTATAAAATTTGAACTTGGAACATCTTTGTATTGACCATTAATTCAAGCCTAAACTTTAAAAAAAAAAAATTAAGAAAGCAACATGATGGGTCCAAATATACACCTGCTTCTTGGTGATCACAAGTACACAGAATGTGTGTGTGTGTTAAAAACTAATAATGAATGTTCAATCTTAATGCCTACTTTATTGATCCAAAGTTGGTCGGGATGCCAAAAGACATGAAAACTTTTTCACCAGATGTTATTTGAGTACAAAGATTTACCAAACCATGCAAGAATGATTTCATCCCAACTTCTGTAGGGTTTAAGAAATATCAGTTTTGGACTGTTTTCATCGCATTATTGATTATATAAATCAATTCTTGAATTTTGAATATACAACGTAACGTTTGGATGGATAAATATTTATCATCGTTTCATATAAGATATCGACTTCTATATATATATATATATGGGGTGTGGAAAAGACAGAAAGAACGAAAATAAAGAGAGAGAAAGGAGTAAATTTTGAAGAAAAATATATAGTTTAATATAATTTGGTCGTCGACTCCCATGTGGCTATCAAATAAAGTTGGTGGATTCACTTAAGTAACGCAGTTTGTTGCTTGGTTTTGATAGTGCTGCGATGATGGATTATCCTTTTGGGTTAGTAATTATGATTTAAATCGAACATTCCATAATAGGGGACTCTAATAATCACGTCCCGGGAAGGTTACTATCTAATTGTNTGAAGTAACGTAGTTTGTTGTTTGGTTTTGATAGTGCTGCGATGATGGATTATCCTTTTGGGTTAGTAATTATGATTTAAACCGGACATTCCATAATAGGGGACTCTAATAATCACATCCCGGGAAGGTTACTATCTAATTGTTGCTCCTCCCTTTTTTTATTTGTCAAAAAAAACATAGCTAATATTTTTTTTATTGACAACCTCAAAATAAGTAGCAGTGGAAAAAATTATTAGATGGACATACTTTGGGGACTTAATACATTGGAATCATAGGATTAATATTGAAGTGCGTACAATGCTAGGACTCATTGTCATTTCAATAACCACAATCATTAAATTCTCAAATTATATCTCAATAACATTGCTCGGTAGAAAAATAAGAAACCATCGGCAATGCAGAGAAACCTCATGGGTTAATAATAAGAGCAATGCAATTGATATTTATTTTATTGATCTAATTTGCTGATTTAATTTATTATAGTCATTGGAGTGACTGTGAAACCTATTAAACATTGAAACTTGATATTAATTTAATAATTATAATGAAGCCACATCATTGAGTCAGTAAATTTAATCAAATTTTCATATCTCAATAGTATTACTCTAATAGNTTAAGTAACGCAGTTTGTTGCTTGGTTTTGATAGTGCTGCGATGATGGATTATCCTTTTGGGTTAGTAATTATGATTTAAATCGAACATTCCATAATAGGGGACTCTAATAATCACGTCCCGGGAAGGTTACTATCTAATTGTCGCTCCTCCCTTTTTTTATTTGTCAAAAAAAAACATAGCTAATATTTTTTTTATTGACAACCTCAAAATAAGTAGCAGTGGAAAAAATTATTAGATGGACATACTTTGGGGACTTAATACATTGGAATCATAGGATTAATATTGAAGTGCGTACAATGCTAGGACTCATTGTCATTTCAATAACCACAATCATTAAATTCTCAAATTATATCTCAATAACATTGCTCGGTAGAAAAATAAGAAACCATCGGCAATGCAGAGAAACCTCATGGGTTAATAATAAGAGCAATGCAATTGATATTTATTTTATTGATCTAATTTGCTGATTTAATTTATTATAGTCATTGGAGTGACTGTGAAACCTATTAAACATTGAAACTTGATATTAATTTAATAATTATAATGAAGCCACATCATTGAGTCAGTAAATTTAATCAAATTTTCATATCTCAATAGTATTACTCTAATAGTAATACACAATCTCTGGACAAATTTTTCAATGTGTATAAAACATTACATGACAGTATCAAGTAGTGTACATCACTTATAAAATTATGTACATTCCTAATATAGGACTTGCCCCTATCATTTTGTCCATTTTATTTATTTATTAAAAATTCATCTTATATTTTAAATAAGTTAGTATTGTGATACAATTTTATTGAATATGCACACCACTTAACACTGTGACGTATTAAGTGCAATTATATAAAGTAAATCAGAGAAATTCGAATAATCAAATAAAATACCATCAACTCAGCACAAACAATTCTCACCGCTTTTCCACAATAACCATGAAAAATTGATAGAAACGTGTAAGACAACCAACCAATCATTTTAGCAAAACAGATCACCCAGTAGGTCTTTTTTTCAAGTATAATTGCACAAACTGTCCAGTTTCAAAGCTTCTACTTTATTTGCATGTCTGTTTTTATGTTGTTCAGATGAGGAAACACGGGTACGTCTAACTCTCTCCAAGTCTAACTCTCTCCAAACCTCACAGTAGTAGAAGCTTCGTATACTGAGTCCCCCTTTTTTGCTATGCAGTTCAGATGAGTTTCTCATAGTTGTGCGTTGTGAATTCCCTGTTCCTCTACTAACTACTTCATGCACTATGCTTAGTTATTGTTTGCTCATCTAAAACGTCACTTCCATTGCATGGGTACACAATTAGTTTTAAATAAAAAATTCACACATCTACAATGTCCAGACATGGTATCCGCTGAACCACAAACTATATTTCTAAAATATAGACTTCAGATTAAAACGAGCATTATGCATGTACATACATAGAAATTTCAATTCAATATGAGGAGATAAACGAACGAAAATCTATTTCGAAGTGTAAGTGTTATATTTCAGACATTGCAAAATCTAAGAACATGACATGAACCAAATATGAGTTCTGCAATTAAAATTTACATCAGCCTCAATGTTAAAGAGGGACCATGAATAAGATGAGATTATCAATATTNGCAAGTGTTATATTTCAGACATTGCAAAATCTAAGAGCATGACATGAACCAAATATGAGTTCTGCAATTAAAACTTACATCAGCCTCAATGTTAAAGAGGGACCATGAATAAGATGAGATTATCAATATTTTTGACACGAATCCACCTTCCAAGAACACGAAGGAAAAGCAAAAAGCCGCCATGGTGTGTTCTCTGTGATGATACAGCAGTACAGTGTTTACACCCGCTGCAGACATATAACCACACTTATTCTCTCTCCTTGTTGTCCAGAGACTGCAAAATTTCTCTCACAGCAGTCCTCCCAGATCACAATATACTTAAATACGGTCCTCGCTCCTACTTCAAGTCATCTACAACTTCACATCCCTTCTCAGTTAAGATCATACGGAAAGCTGTGGCTTTCTCAATCAACCCAACTTCTGCAAAAGCTTTTAAAAGCCTATTACAGCTAGAAAAATCAAAATCCGTTGCCACAGACTGCTTCCATTGGTCGATAACTTCTCCTAATTCTTTCAAATGCCCAAGCATCAGATATGATGAAGCTATACACAAATAATTTCTACTTGTCATTTTCTGCTTAGTCATTCTCAAAGATTTCCATATTTGATCAAGTTTATCTTTGTTTCCCAAACCCCCATATAGAACAAGAAGGAAGTCATAAGTTATCCATTCCCTTTGCATAATATCCTTCTCGCTTTCAACAAGAGAATTGAGCTCTGAATTCACAAGGTGCCCGGAGGTCAGATATATGTTGACAAGGTTCATATATCTTACCCAATCTTCATGAAGGCCAGGATCATGACTCATTTCATGAAGAATGCTTCTAAGTTCATCAATTTTTAGAGCTGCGGCACAAGAACTTATCCATAAATTATAAGTGAACAGGTCTGGTGCAACCTTCTGGCGTTTCAGTTCCTCAACAACAGAGGAGACCTTCTCCACCTGCCCAACTGACATGTACAGGGTCATTAGTTCATTGTATGTGATGGCACTTAAAGACAAGTTTGATTCCTTTATTTGCTTGTATAGTGCCTCAGCCTTGTCAGTTAGTTTTGACGCAGCATAAGAGTGGAGAAGAGCAGTGTAGGTTTCGCTCGTCTTTACATTGGGAGGAAGGACTTGAAAGTAGCGTTCAGCGGCATCGATACCAAAGACTTTAGACATCAAGTCAATGCGGACTGCATAGTCAGAGTCAGATATCTCAAACTCCTCATTAGCTACCATCCACTCCGATATCTGCAAGCTCAAAACAATTACATAAATGGAAATTACCATCAAATCAACAACTTTGCAGAATGGGAAAGTAAAAAACTTTCCACAACAAGATGTAATGACAAACTTCGTTTCCGAAAAGATGGGTGGTCTTCTTAAAATCTGAAACTAGTAATTAAACAGAGGTAGTTCAAAATTTTATAGATTATCACATTAGTTAGCAATGTTTTTTTTTTTTAATTTTTTTTTTTTTGAGGGGGAGGGGTTGACCTCAAGAAGGCAAAGCTTTGATAAAGCAAATAGTACCATTAGACTAAAATCCCATTGGTTATTTAGCAATGATTCATCTCTCTATTTGATGTCAAATGAGGCGTTGGATATAACACGGGGTGCCATCATATTGCACCTATTTCATTGAGATGGAAGAAAAGAGAAGATAGGAAAGAAAAAGAAGAAATCAGGTGCAACCTTACTTTATCTCCAAGGGAGTTGTTTATAGAGAAGAAAAATGGAAAATGAAACGCATGTCGGAAAAGGTTAGACTTGTTTTTATTTGTGTGTCTGCGGGCATGAGTACAGATCTCTATGTGTTGCAATAGCAGGTTTCAAGACAAAATCAGCACCCCACCCCCAAGAAACAAGCAATATCTATGTCTAGGTGATTGGTACAAGAATTCAAGTTACAACGTTCGTTGTCTCACAACACTTGATGGAAGTGTAAGTTATGTTTTTAGCATTTTTTACCAAAATCAATACCTGGCATTTGCTACTGGAGAATCATCAAATTCAATAATTTTCACGTGAAGAAGATGTTGACTAAACGGGATGTAACCAACAGAACAATTATTAGAAACAGTTGAATGCATGCACCCTGCGAATATTCACCTGAGCTAAATGTTGTTTGCTATATTCAAGATTGTTATACACTTCAAGTTACCAAGAACTAATCACAATAGGGAGTTCAGAATGACTACAAGAGAATTTTAAAATGCCACTTTTCTGCCTAATTTGTCAAGAACCCTGATAACTCATACCTTGCGCAATTCTTTCACAAATTAAGTGAACCTTGGCATAGCATTTCGTATTTATACGGACACAATGCTGAAGCGTTCAAACAACGGCAATGGGATTGACATAAAAGCGGACCCCTTAATGGGTGATCAATTGGGTGAAACAGAGAACATAAAATGACAATTAATCATTTGGACGAACAAGAAAAAGACTCTCCTTCAATTTTCCTTCAGATTCTCGGCAACCAAACATCACTATAATAAAATTAACAAAATATAGAAAAAAATTAGGATGAAAGATGTCTAGTGAGAGAGAAGGAGACCTCGAGGGCGTGCTTGTAACGCTGGGACTTGCGGAGCTCTTTGGAGATATCTCTAAGGCCACAGATGGTAACTTTGTGGCCTTCGCCGACCCATTTCTGAAGCACGTTAGTGGCGCTACGCTTGGGCAGTCTGAGCCGGAATATTCTGCTCTTGAGGTCATCGTCCTCACCATCACCCTTTTCTTCCTCCGCAACATTTGATGACTCTTCGCCTATAACTTCGCTTCTCGAAGCGCTTGAAGAGAAGGATCTGAGCATACTTCGATCCCTCCTGCCATTTCTAGGGTTCACACAAAGCCAAAAAAAAAAAAAAAGAGCTACTTAACATGCTAGAGATTGACAATATACACACAATTCAACAAAAAGTGTGTGTGAGAGAGAAAGAGAGGTTCTTACCGGGTGAGAGAGAGGAAGATGGAGCGGGCAGCCATTCTTGGCCTGGGTGCAGCTTGATCAAATTCAGGCTAGGGTTGTACATTGGGGTTCCTAATTTGTGCACCAAATGGGAAAAAATAATTTTGGGGGGCAAAAACATAAATAACCAAAAATAAGGGAGATAGTATTGAAAAGGGCAACAAAAAGATAATGTCAGAAGTGGGATTTGAACCCACGCTCTCTCACGAGAACCAGAACTTGAGTCTGGCGCCTTAGACCACTCGGCCATCCTGACGTCGCTCGGTACAATTTCTTACATATTATATTTATATCTTTTATTTTTCACTTTGATATTTATATTCCCTTAATATATTAAAGAGATAAAACTCTTTGNACTTGTTACATATTATATTTATATGTTTCATTTTTCACTTTGATATTTATATTCCCTTAATATATTAAAGAGATAAAACTCTTTGTATCAATCAATATATATGTAATTTTTTTTAGCAACAAGTTTTTGGATCATTGGTACTTTTTGTTTTGTAAAGGTTTTATTTTTTTTTTTTAGGTTAAAAGTTCAAGTCCCATGGGTAAAAAAAAACATGGTTGATTAGTAGAATTTGTCTCAGTTGCTTAGACGAATCATATGTAAGTCTTTGGTATAGATTTAAATTCCCACCAAAGTACAAATTTTGATTTTTAAAAATTAAATTTTTAAAACTTTTTAATTATATCTAAATTGTGAANTAGGTTAAAAGTTCAAGTCCCATGGGTTAAAAAAAACATGGTTGATTAGTAGAATTTACCTCAGTTGCTTAGACGAATCATATGTAAGTCTTTGGTATAGATTCAAATTCCCACCAAAGTACAAATTTTGATTTTTAAAAATTAAATTTTTAAAACTTTTTAATTATATCTAAATTGTGAATTTTAGTTACAATTTTTTTTTCCTATTTAGTGTGTATTAAAATTGGTTTTATGGCTTCTTGAGAAGCATGTGTCAAACGGCTACTTCACTGTGTATGCCAAGCCACTTTTTGTCCTAGTTCACTGTGTACGTTACACACACAATGACTACACAAGTGGTTTTGAGATCTTTTGGTTTGTAACAACAAAATCTACTCCAAATCTTCCATTTGCTTATTCTTTTATACTTGGCTTATTTTTCTAATTATCATCTACTATATTATTTTGACCAACTCGATTCGAGTCAGGTTCACTTCAACCATCTAGTGGACGTGATCATTGAGAAGATGCTACTGCAAGCATCTGGGTTAGATCTTGAAGTCGTTAGTGTTCGTCAGTACCCTCATGTAGAGAGACTCAACTATTTTAGGACAGTGATCACACGCCTTTCGGACTCACAGACCAACTCTTTCTAAATAAATTTATTTGATTTATATAAATTGCATGCATTCATTTAAATCGCATGTTATATTTTAATGATCTAACCACTTTTTGCATACTTTATTTTTAATTTTAAATTACAAAATTCATAGTTATTTTGCTCAAATCATAATTCTAGTATTTGTTGTGTTGGTAAAAATTCAACAGCCAGTTTTTCTAATTCCAACCATAAATCTATAAATAAAAACTATCATTATTTTTACAATCTAAAGTAGCTGATTTTTTGTTGTTGGGAAAAAAATGTTTTTTTTTTCTGGAAACAAAAATAGTAGTAGTTTTTTGGGAAAAAAAAATTGTTACTGTTTTTCTGAAAAAAAAACTGTTTCTGTTTTTTGAAAAAAAAAAACCAATTTTTTGAATTTTCTAGGAAAACAATTTTTTGCAAAAAAAAAAAAAAAACAGTCTTTCAGAGAAGGGGGGAAAAAAGTTTTCTGGAAACAAAAAAAGTCTTTTAAAGAAGGGGAAAAAATAGTTTTTTGAATTCTTCTGGAAAAAAAAAAAATTCTAGAACAGTTTTTCTGAAAAAAACCTGTTTTCTAAATTTTTTTTTTCTGGAAAACAGTTTTGTTGAAATTTTTTTTTGAATAGTAACAGAATCTATCTAAAGTGATCTACAACAATTAAAAAAAACAATAGCTACTTGCTTTAATTAAAAAAAAATATAGCTACTTGCTTTCAGAAAATAAAATAAAATTAAAGTTTCAAGAGCTATTACAATAATTTAAATACCTTTCTTAATTTTGTTACAAATAGAGTTTTGACAGTCGACATTTAAATTAAATACAAGTTATTTGCATATCTCTTATTATTTATTTGCCCTTGAATTCTAAATTAAGGATGACTAGGCTAGAAGAAGCTAATAGTGTCAAACCTGAAAAATTTAGTGGTCAAAATTTTCGTAAATAGCAAAAACAGGTTCGATATTAGTTGATCATACTAGGCTAAATTTCTACTACAAAAGAGTCTCAACCTAGTCAAGAGTTCACTTTATGGTATACCCTTGAACAAATTAAATATCATTGTCAAAATAAGATTCTTAGTACTTTTTCTGACCATCTTTATGATGTTTGCCATAATACTACGACAACCGCTAAAGAGCTTTGGAACACCTTAAAGGCCGAGTATGAGATTGTTGATGCTAGAATTAAATGGTTTATGATCTCTAATTTCAATAATTACAAAATGGTGGAGAATAAACTCGTTGGTGATCAAATTCATGAATATCAAGAATTTTTGAGGAAAATTGAAAATGGTGGAACTATATTTAGTGAAGATTTTAAAGTTTCAAGCTTAATTAACAAACTTCCACCTTCTTGGGATAATTTTGTTAAGACCCTTAGGTATAAGCAAGGAGAGTTAACTTTAACCCAAACTATTAATGCGCTTAGGGTTGAAGAAAAGTATAAAGTTAGTACAAACTCACAAAATGAGAGACCCCCTAAGGTAAACCTAGTGAAAAATAGTAACAACAACTATAACAATTTCCGACCTAGGGGAAGAAATTTTAAGAATAAAAGCTTTAATGGTCGTCGTAATAATGATCAAAAACAAAACTATCAAAACAATAATAATAATAATAAGTTCAGGGGCTTAGGGAGAGAGAGGATGTCTTACTTTGTTTATGGACAAACCAATCACTTGGCTAAGGATTGCTACTACAAGAAAATTGAGCCCTGTAAGCCAAAGCCCAAGCCAAATCAAAGAGGTCTAGGAGCCCAAGTCAATGTTCTAGTGGATGAAGATAACTCTGTCGAACCCTCATTTATGTATAATCGTTCACTTGTTAATTTTACTTATCAAGATAAAGATTGGTGGTTAGACTCTGGGGCTAATATACATGTTTACTTTGATCGTGATTTATTTAAATCTTATTAGAAATCAAGTGAAGGAAGTGTAACGCTAGGAAATGATTCCGTCGCACAAGTACTTGGAATTGGAGATATAGAGTTAAAGATGACATCTGGGAAGACATTGACTTTGAAGGGAGTGCAACATGTTCCTGAAGTTAGAAGAAATTTAGTCAGTGAGTCGTCTTTAGTCCAACAAGGTTATAAGGTTATAATGGAGTCAAATAAAAATGTGATAACTAGGAATAATATATTTGTTGGCAAATGATATGTTTGTGATGGTTTGTTTAAATTAAATATACTTTTGGAAGCTAATGAAATTTATCATCAACTTTTCAATGTTGAATCTTACAATGTATGGTATGGAAGATTATGACACATAAGTCTAAAGAAAATCAAAAGGATGATGGATCTCAATCTTATTCCCAAATCTCATATAGATTTTAAACATAAGTGTGAAATTTGTATACAAGCCAAACAAACTAGAAAACATCATAAAAGCGTAGAAAGGAATACTCAACTTCTAGAACTTATATATAGTGATGTATGTGATTCTAGTAAACCGCCAACAAGAGCCGAAAATAAATATTTTGTGACCTTTATAAATGATTGTTCTAAATATTGTTATAGTTATCTTATCAAGAACAAAGATGAAGTATTTAATAAGTTTAAGATATATAAAAATGNCGTAATAATGATCAAAAACAAAACTATCAAAACAATAATAATAATAATAAGTTCATGGGCTTAGGGAGAGAGAGGATGTCTTACTTTGTTTATGGACAAACCAATCACTTGGCTAAGGATTGCTACTACAAGAAAATTGAGCCCTGTAAGCCAAAGCCCAAGCCAAATCAAAGAGGTCTAGGAGCCCAAGTCAATGTTCTAGTGGATGAAGATAACTCTGTCGAACCCTCATTTATGTATAATCGTTCACTTGTTAATTTTACTTATCAAGATAAAGATTGGTGGTTAGACTCTGGGGCTAATATACATGTTTACTTTGATCGTGATTTATTTAAATCTTATTAGAAATCAAGTGAAGGAAGTGTAACGCTAGGAAATGATTCCGTCGCACAAGTACTTGGAATTGGAGATATAGAGTTAAAGATGACATCTGGGAAGACATTGACTTTGAAGGGAGTGCAACATGTTCCTGAAGTTAGAAGAAATTTAGTCAGTGAGTCGTCTTTAGTCCAACAAGGTTATAAGGTTATAATGGAGTCAAATAAAAATGTGATAACTAGGAATAATATATTTGTTGGCAAATGATATGTTTGTGATGGTTTGTTTAAATTAAATATACTTTTGGAAGCTAATGAAATTTATCATCAACTTTTCAATGTTGAATCTTACAATGTATGGTATGGAAGATTATGACACATAAGTCTAAAGAAAATCAAAAGGATGATGGATCTCAATCTTATTCCCAAATCTCATATAGATTTTAAACATAAGTGTGAAATTTGTATACAAGCCAAACAAACTAGAAAACATCATAAAAGCGTAGAAAGGAATACTCAACTTCTAGAACTTATATATAGTGATGTATGTGATTCTAGTAAACCGCCAACAAGAGCCGAAAATAAATATTTTGTGACCTTTATAAATGATTGTTCTAAATATTGTTATAGTTATCTTATCAAGAACAAAGATGAAGTATTTAATAAGTTTAAGATATATAAAAATGAGGTTGAAAATCAATTAGAGAGAAAAGTGAAAAGACTAAGGTCCAATAGAGGGGGTGAATATACTTTAACTGACCTTAGTACATTTTGTGAAGAATATGGAATAATACATGAAGTGACTCCTCCTTATTCTCCTCAATCAAATGGGGTAGTTGAAAGAAAAAATAGAACCTTAATAGATATGGTAAATTCAATGTAGATTAATTCCCGCTTATCTGATAATTTGTTGGGGAAGCTGTACTTAGTGCTTGTTTCATCTTGAATAAAATATATGTTAAAGATAATGAGAAAACTTCATATAAGATATGGAAGGAAAAAGTTCCTAACCTTAGCGTCATGAAAATGTGGGAGTGTTTAGTTAAGGTAACTATTCCCAAACCAAATAGAAAGAAAATAGGTCCTAAGATCGTAGACAAAGAAAATAGGTCCTAAGACCATAGACACCGTCTTTATAGGATATTCCCAAAATAGTAGCGCTGATAGATTCTTAGTTATTAACTCGGAGGTTAGTGGAATTTCAAACAATACTATAACTGAATCTAGAGATGCTAAATTTTTTGAAGATATTTTTTCTTTTAAAAATACAATGCCTAGTCAAGTAAGAGAAACACCTTCAACTAGTAATCAACCTTCTACTAGTTCTATTGCTCCTATAGAAAAAAATATAGAACACCAAGCAGAGTTAAGGAGAAGTAAAAGACCAAGAATAGAGAAGGACTTAGGAGAATGATTTTTTACTTTTCTAGTAGAAGGAGAACCAACGACATATAAAGGAGCTATGTCCTTTATAGATGCACCTTTTTGGAAAGAGGCTATTAATAGTGAAATTGAATCTATATTGCTTAATAATATTTGGGAGATAGTAGAATTATCTCTTGGAAGCAAAGCTATTGGGTGTAAATGGGTATTTAAGAAGAAACTAAAACCTGATGGTAGTATAGATAAATACAAAGCTAGATTGATGGCTAAAAGATTTACTCAAAAGAAAGGGATATATTATTTTGATGCATACTTGCCTGTGACTAGTATTACTACCATTAGAATACTAGTAACCCTAGCATCTATTCATAACTTAGTAATACTTCAAATGGACGTCAAGACCGCTTTTCTAAATGAGGATTTAGATGAAGAGATATATATGGAACAACCTGAGGGGTTAATGGTAAAAGGACAAGAACATAGGGTTTGTAAGTTAGTGAAATCTTTATATGACCTTAAACAAGCTCCCAAACAGTGACATGAAAAGTTTGATAAATGAATTTTAAAGTATGATTTTCAAATTAACGAAAGTGATAAATGTTTATACTACAAGGATAGTGATGTTGGTTGTGTGATTTTATGTCTCTATGTAGATGATATACTAATTTTGGGGACAAGCTTAGAGGTTGTTATTGATGTTAAATCTTATTTATCTACTAAGTTTGATATGAAAGACTTGAGAGAAGCCTATGTAGTATTGGGAATGAAAATAGAGAAAACATTTAATGGAATATCTCTAAGTCAGTCTAGCACCATAGAGAAAATGTTGAAAAAGTTTGATTTTTATGATAGTAAGTCTATATCAACACCATATGATCCTCATGTACATTTGAAGAAAAATAAAAGAGAACCGATCTCACAATTGAAGTACTCACAAATGATTGGATCTTTATTATACATAGCAAATAAATCTAGACCTGATATCTCGTATGCCGTAGGGAGACTAAGTAAATACACATAGTTCGAGTAAAGAGTATTGGGTTGCTTTAGAGAGAGTCTTTAAGTATCTTAAAGAAACCTTAAACTACTCTTTATGTTATAGTGGATTTCCTAATGTAGTTGAGGGCTTTAGTGATGCAAATTGGATCACTTATAGTTTAGATATAAAATCCACTACTGGCTATGTTTTTTGTTAGGAGGAGCAGTCATATCTTGAGGATCTAAAAAAACAACCCTAATATCAAGACGTATTATGAAGTCATAACTTATAGTCTTAGATACCACGTGTGCTGAGGCTGAGTGGATAAAGAATTTATTACTAGAGATATCTCTAGTGGAAAACCCATACTTGTCATTTCATTACACAGTGATAGTAAAGCAGTGATTGAGTTTATGAAGCAAAATCATAATAATAAAAAGATGAATAAACATATACAAGTGAGATATAAATCAATAAAAAAAATACTAAGTAAAAGTATAATCTCACTAGACTTTGTGAAGTTTGAGCAAAATATAGCTGATCAGCTAACTAAAGGACTTTCGAAGAAAACTGCCTCAAAACTGTACAGGGGGATGAACTTAAGCCCACAAGAGAGTCACCTAGGGAGGTAACCCAACTTCTGTGATTGGAGATCCCATGAAGGAAGTTCAATGAGTAGAAACAATTCATATTGTGTGACTCATTAACACTGTTATTTAGGAAATATCCAAGATGAGATATTTTTCTTGCTCATCCCTATGACAGAAAGTTCTTATGTAGTGTGACGGTAAGGAAGAGTTTTACCCTGAATAAGATTGAGGCAGGAACACTCTTGCAGGGTATTGTGCACATGTATCCTTGGAGGAATCATCTAAGTGAGTAGTTGTGAGGCCGCAATTATGAGAATTGGGCTATTCTCTAGAAACTCTTATGAGAATCAAGATCAAGTGCAAGACCATTAATAACACTGACCCGTGAATCTTGACCAATATCGGTACTTTGTGTGTGACTTGTTGAACTCTAATTCAAAGGATCTAGTTCAAGCCTTTGATCCCTATGATCCTTCAGAGGAAAACTGTTAATACTAAGTGAGGTTCAAGCCTGAAAAATACCTACACCTATAACATAGTATAATAGTTTCCCATATTTTCTCTATTAAAGTATAACATATTTGAAATATTTTGAAATTTCAAAAATTTGTGAGAAATTGTAAGACTAAAAATTAAGTTTTTAAAACTTTGTAATTATGTTTAAATTGTGAATTTCAGTTACAGTTTTATTTTCTTATTTAATGTGCATAAAAATTGGTTTTTTGGCTTCTTGAGAAGCACGTGCCAAACGGCTACTTCACTGTGTATGCCGAAACGACTTTTTGTCCTAGTTCATTGTGTACGTTACACAAACAGCGACTATATAAGTGGTTTTGAGTCTTTTGGCTTGTAACAACAAAATCCACTCCAGAATCTTCCATTTGTTTATTCTTTTATACTTGACATACTTTTTTAATTATTATCTATTATTTTATTTTAACCAATTCGATTCGAGTCAGGTTCACTTCAACCTTTCAGTAGACATGATTATTGAAAAGGTGCTAATGCGAACGTCTGGGTTGAATTTTGGAGTCGCTGGTGTCCGTCAGTACCCTCACATGAAGATACTCAACTGTTTTAGAATAGTGATCACACTCCTCTCGGACTCGCAGACCAACTCTTTCTAAATAAATTTATTTAATTTATATAAATTGCATGTATTCATTTAAATCACATGTTATATTTTAATGATCTAACCACTATTTGCATACTTTATTTCTAATTTTAGATTACAACATTCATAGTTATTTTGCTCACATTATAATTCTAGTATTTATTGTTTTGGTCTAGAATTCAGTAGCCATTTTTCCTAATTCCAACCATAAATCTATAAATAAAAACTATAATTATTTTTACAATAAGTGCGTCTCTATTTGCCAAAAACAAATCAAAATTTTCTCCCGTTACCTACAAAAAAAAAAAGTGTAAGTAATATAATTTCACTAAAAAAATCCAATATGTAATTATAACTAATGATACCAAAATTTATCCAAGGTTTAAGTGTAGACCTCTAAACTCAGGTCTTCCACCACAAGTCTTCTAGCTCGGACCTCCCAGCTCAAGTTTTCCATCTCAGGTCTTCCCGCTTGGACCTCCCAGCTTAGGTCGTTCAACTCTGGTCTTTCCTTGTGTACACTATGATAGCGGCAGTTCACATCTTCTAAAAAGTCGCGTCACGTTTAGGGAATATAACGTCTAACGACCAAAGATTTTGAGCACATGAGTCGTAACAACCCCCAAGAAGATCACGTTGATTATGCAAGGATCCCCGTTGTTACACAAAGATCACGACAGCTACCCAAGAATCATGCTGATTACACAAAGCTCCTACACACTATAAATAGGGACTGATTCCTCGCTTTAAAAGGGTTTTGAACATATGTGAATAAACTCTTCATAGCCTTGTAATCTTCTTTCCCAAATAATAAAAAATTCCCTAGGAGCAAGAGACTATTAAAATGGACTAGTCAATCTTCCAAGTTAGTGAACCACTATAAATTTTCTGTCTATTGATTTCAATTGATAATTGTTGTCTCAGTAATTGACTATTTACCACTATGAGCCTAGTAGTTCAGATTGGACGTTTCCATGAATCCCTATCATCATCCCTAATAAATCTTTAAGTCATTTCTCCCCTTTTAAGCTTGAGCTCTTCTACACAACTACATTTATTACACCATCAATATTACTATCCATATCAACATTAAATTTCAGAATGCAAGTTCTATTCATAACTATTGGGAATTGTTAGTGATTTTCTAAGGTTTTTTTTTTGCTTTGCATTATCTTTGTTTTTTTTTTTTTTTTTTTTTTTTTGGGGGGGGGGGGTTCTCACCAGCCTGAAAAATTTTTTGTTATGTCAATTTTTTTGAACCTTGGTCAAAGCCTAGGCGTCAAAAAAATTTAGGCCGATACTATTTTGGAGATCTGTATTCTGATATCACATCCTCACAGACATGCAATATTACGATCCAATAGCAAACAATTACCTATACATATATACATCAAACATCATATACACACGGTATACTTGTGGGCCAATTATTGTATGTTGATATAACCAGCTACTTGCTTTGAACCCGAACCCGATCTAAGCAGGATTTCCCATCAAGCAGGTTACCTTGTTGCAGCTCCAAATATTGCCTGTATTTCATTGGAACATATCTAGGGGGATTGTTTTCACTTTCTACCAAGGTGGAAGCTGGGCTAACACTTGTTTCGAGCGATGGCCCAATGGCGATGGGTAGCGATATTCTTGTGACTCTGTTATTCACAACTGCTCGATGTATAACGCTCCTGTACTTCCCATTGCTGAATATCTGGCAAAACATAGCGTGGGTAAAGTTCAGTCAACACAATTGCAAGATGAGAATGACGCAATTAAGCAAACAGTGTTGAGTTACCATACAAACCCAATATCTATGAAAAACAACGGGGGAGAACCTTGTGAAGCAGATTGGGCAATACGGAATGATATGACTGCAATCTTCTGAAGTTTGACCCAACTCCAGAGGTTCTGGATTTATCTTTTCATGGTGGTTGTCTTGTTGATCATGAGTTCCTATTAAGTAAAATGGGCATGGCTTCACTCATTGCTTTCTTCTTGTGAATTCTATAGGTATTAGAAGTCCAAGAGCTGGCCATCTACTTTCTTATTTGTCCAAAGCCTTCAAATGTCTTTATTTGAATGAACCCGTTATTTTGGAGCAGGGATATTATCTTTTCCATAAAGAATAAGCTACCATTTGGTAGCTTTTTTTTGAAGTAAAATTTTCAAATATAAAAGTAATTCTATCATAAAAGCAAAAAACCATATTTTATCACTATATAATATAAGTGATCCATAGTAATCTTCATGTATAAAAAGAACTTATAGATGCATCTACGAATACTATTGCACACATGATTATAAGTGAATAAGCTTGGATAAAAAAAACAAAAAAAAAAAGCAAACATGCAAAACCAAACACTCCTTAAAAAAAAACACTAAAAATAACATTATCAAATGGTTACCTCAAGGTGATCACCGGTGTTTACTAGATAAGAGTTAGGAATGGCGTTCACATTGACCCACTTTCCATTGTGCTGTACTTGAAGGCCTCCCACTCCATTCTGTATAAGGAATGTCAAAAGGCCATGATCTGAATGAGGTGGCAAGCCCATGGCAAGTTCAGGCTGTGGACAAGGTGGATAGAGGTTGGCAGTAAAACTTTGAAAGCCTGAGTCCATATTCAAGGCTTTGTCCACATAGCTCTCTTCCAGTCCTAGACTCTTCCATATTCCTCTGAGTAATTCCCTTGCAACTTTTCGAGTTCTTTCACAATACTCTGATAAATGCTTACTGCAGCGACAACCACCAAAGAGATCGTAGTATCTTAACATTTTAGGATTATGGCACAGAAGAGTTACTTATTCGTATTATTGTACCAAAGGTTACTAACTTACTACAAACTAAGGGTAGGGTTATTACAAAATAAGGTCGAGTTTACGATTTAATTTGGTGAGGTTGTGGCAAAATTGGGTTGTTTGGCACCGACCTCAACATATTCGGATTCAATCCAATTTCTTTCTAGTTGTAACCTATCTATAGAGCTCTGTAACTGACCTTTTTTGGTTGTTGCTTAACCTGAAATCAGTTGTATCTAAACTTCGTTTTTTTTTTGTACACTTCAGTATGCTACTGAAGTCAGTTCCGAGTCTTACACTATTTTAACTATTGGTCCATAAAAATGCTGTTATACACGAGGGTGAAAGATTGTAGCAACTATGTTATTATACAGCTAGTTATTATATCTGAATTTGTGATAGAATTGAACGAGATAATCACCTATTCCTAAGTTATATATTCCTAATGTTCCAAGGGTATTTCTCTTTATATTGTGCAATCTTCATTTGAATCGAGGACAAAACTACTTTTTCCCCAAAACACATCATTAGATCTAACCTATTCTTAAGAGGAAGAGAAAGTGAAAGTGAAAGCAATAGAATAGTGACACACAACCCCATGTTGAATCTACGAATGGACCCACTTTACTCAGACCTCATTCGAATGCATTCTCTCAGGAAGTAGCATACTCATGTTGCCTACTTTAGTTCTTTTCATCCCGGGACCAACTGGTTTCACACCGGGAGAGCAATATCCGGAGCAACGACCCCAACTGCTTGGAAGATACTTTGGCAGTGTCAGAATGTGCCAAAAGTACTTCAACTTTATGATTGCATAGATTCATAAGCGGTTGCTTATGCATTTAGTGTTCGACATGGCTTCAAACCACCATTTGTATAAGAAGCTCTGAAGTTGATTCTTTGTGCGATGTTTGTAAGTGAATTATTCATACCATAAAATTTTTACTCTGCAAGAAACATTATATTAAATGGGGAACATATATGTGGGATGAGACTCAGAACACTTGTGAGAGGGCACATATTCATGCGGTGATACTTGAACACGTGACAAATGCAAGACAGAATAGTCATACAGTGGAGTATCTCTTTCAACTCTTACAAGAACTAAAAACCGTAATGACTGGTCGTTCTTATTCTCAGCTGGCTAGTTTTTGTAGATTCCCAAATGGTCTCCTATGTTTACCACGTCATCCTTTCGGTGGGTTCAAATGATACTCTGTAATTTGACATATAAAGCTAATACAAATTCAAAAAAGTCCACCTTAAATTCAATTCAGCGTAGCAGCAGCATTTGGGTAATAGAGATTTTAAGCTGATTGATAATAAACATGATCCGTTTTAGATGCCTTTAATAAAGAAGGCACCCAAACTAACAATAATGCAACTTGGTTCTAATTACTGACCAAATTTACTTACATAATCCCCTGCCATCATTCTGGCTTTAACCGGTTGTTAATCCCATGGTGAATCCATTAGTATTTGAAACCGACTGTTAATTCATAACCAACAATGAATTGGATCAACAAATGATCTGAAATGATTAGGTCCATGTAACATTACCCTGAAATCAAACATTTAAAACTTTTTATCAAGCATTTGAGTCGGTGAAAAGATGCAAAGAACTTGTACCTGAATCCAATAGGTTTGTTGGGAGAGTGAAATTCTGGATGCACAATGACCTTTACAAAATCTCTCCAGAAGAAAACCTTTTCCTTGGAAGTATTGAAGCTGGTACCACACCTGATTGGGTCTAAAACATGCTTCCCTGCAAACTCCTGCTTCTCCTCCTCCGTCAGATTGAAAAACTCATCACTCGCATTGATCATCGCCTTCATCAGAGCCTCTGGTACACCATGATTAACCACCTGAGACCCATCAGCCAATACACATTCAATAAGCCCAACATATAAGAGCAAGATGGTTACTTTTTTTGCATCATACCGAAAATTAGGAATTAATTGGATAAGGTAATGACTCAATTAAATAAAGTTATGACAATGGATCATTTGGAATCAATACTAAAATATGAGGATCAACCATAACATTTTACGATCCATTCCAACTCTTTTGACCATACATATTTACCTATTCTAATCCCTTCTATCTTTTATCTTCTTTCTATTTGCACACGGGTATTGTTTTGAGCATAATCCTAGTATATATATGTACGGGCACCGATTAAGTTACGACTCAAAAAATGCTAATTCCTTTCTATACGACACCTAATTCAACACCCTAGTCAATCCCAACAAACACAGAAGATAATATGACAGAATCTTTCGAATCAGGAGTGGCAAATTGAACAAAAGAATGCATATTTCTTAAGGATTAAAGGGCAATACAATCGTGTGGTACTTAGAAAATGATATACCATGAAGAAGCCCCACTCTTGACAGGCTTTCCCAAGGTCTTGGATGGTTTTGGAGCGCTGTTCAGGAGAAACATTAGTGAGTAAGGAAAAATCAATAATAGGTACTGAGTCTTCTGGGTCTGAAGCTCTGGTTTCATTGGGTTTTACAGAGTAGGCATAGTTAGAAGGGATGGTTTTGAGATCAGGTGATTCAGCTAGTGTTTTGATGCATTTCATCTTGGATGGCTGAACGTTAGAAGTTGCAAGTGGGAGTTGGGTAACTGTTGGAGCACTAGAGAGAGAGAGAGAGAGAGACAGAGAGAAGGGTCTCTGAATAAAGAGGCGGTTGAGTCTGACTGCAAAGAATTCATCACTTCCTATTTTCAGCTTCCTCTTCTTTTTTTTTTTCCTTTTTTTTGTGGTAAAAACTACTTTCACCCTTAAATTGAACATTATTATATTCAAATTTCACGATCGATTATTGTCATTTTAAATAAATTTCAATCACATTCCTTCTAATTTATTATATTTTCAAAAATATTCATTTTATTATTAAAAATATCATTTACATTTATTCTAATTTATATTTAAGCATCATTAACACCCCTGTCATTAAACTATCATTTATAACAAAAATAATTTATTTAAAAAATAAAAATTGCCCTCACATAAACTCCAAACAATCTTTCTAAATAAAATTTGATTAAAATTCAAGTAGATTAAAATTTATTTTTCTACATATTAAAATTTGAATTGATTAAAATTAGTTTTTTTACATATTAAAATTTAAACTGATTAAAATTAGATTAGAACTGATGAAATTTTTTTTTTTTTTACATATTAAAATTTGAGCCTATTAAATTTTTTTATGTATTAAAATTTGAGCCAATTTAAGTTTTACTTGAGCTATTAGCATCAATTAAAATTTACTTCTAGTCGATTAAAATTTATATTTTTTATTTATTAAAATATGTGCTAATTAAAATTTGGTTCATTAATATTTGAGTCGATTAAAATTTGTATTTTTTATGTATCAAAATTCGAACTAATTAAAATTTAATGCGAGTTGATTAAAATTTGATTTGAGTCGATTACAAAGACTCAAATAGAATTTTAATTGACTCAAATTTTAATCCATAAAAAAATATAATTTTTAATTGACTTAAATTTTAAAACATAAAAAATAAATTTTATTTAGCTCGAATTAAATTTTAATTAACCTGAATTCTAATACGTAAACAAATTTAGAAAAGAGATTGGGTCTCATTAAAAATATACTTATCTAGAGGGAGTATTGATGAAATTGTTTCTCTAATATATTATAGATAATTTAGTAAAATTGTATTTTAATTAACATTTTTAATCTGACAGCAAATGTTAGTGAATATTCAAAAAATTCGGGGTACAACTGAAATTTTCCCTAAAATATTTTAAACCTAGGTCATATTTGAATTAGCACGAATAATCCATGAATTCAACATCTTTAGTATTAGAATTCTTTTTTTTCCCTCTCTCAACAAAATTAACTTTTAGTTGATTTTCTATAAACTAAAAATCTATTGAATACATATTCTAAATTAAGTTTCAAGTGATGGTCCATTGAACATACCTAGAGATATTCTTGTAACTCTGTTATTCACAACTGCTCGATGCATAAAGCTATTGTACTTCCCATTGCTGAATATCTGAAACACACACACACACACACACACACACACAATGGACATAAGTCGACAGATAGTGGCATGTTCAAACCCGAATCCATTAAAAGTGATAAAAACAGATATGGATTAAAATTCTCATAATTGGTCAAAAATATGAAATCCATAGCCAAAGATTCAAATTCGAATCAAAATCCTATCACTTGGTAGGTCTATTTGATGGTCTTATTCAAATGAGCCCATTGTTTTAGACAAGAATACTTTCAGACTTGCATAAAATAAGATTAACAGAAAGGAGTTAGGAAGGGCATTCACATTGACCCATTTTCCATTGTGCTGCAGTTGCAGGCCTCCCACTTCAAAATCTAAAAGGGGCACTGCCAGCCGGTTTGATGGTATCTCCCAGAATGTCATTCAAAACTATCTAAGCACAGTAAAACTCGATTTTCTCTTTGAGCACTTACTGATTTAAGCAAGAGAGAGAACAAGCTGGATAGGTCTTCAGCCTCCTTTTAATCCTGTTCCTTGTTTGCAGGACTCTCGAGCAATGTCGCCCTGATGTCTCGATCACAAATTATTACACAAGAAAAGGCCCGTACACCTTTTAAGTTTGTGTTGGATGTTTCTCTTTTTACTTTGAATTGACTTGAGGGCTGGACCTTTTTTTTTTTTTTATATAGATTTTGCATGTTCTTAAAATGAAGGGAAAGTGAAACAATATGGGATTGGTCACATTTGAACTTGGATCATGTCTAGGGATGAACATTTGTTTAACTATCCGAACAAATTCACTTTACATAATTCTAAATTATTTCATTCGATCTCTTTCAAAAACTCACAATTAGAATAACTAGTTCGTCTTATCCTCGGCTAGCTATTTTTTTGAAACTCAAGCACAAATTGTCTAACTCTGAACTCTCTCTCTCTTGATTTGCTACCCCTAACCATAATTCAACCATCAGTGCAATGAAATTGAATATATTTTTACATTCGGGTATATGAAATTGAAAAAAAAAAAAAGAACAAAAATTTTGAGTCAGATCATTGTGCTTTCATTGAAACTCATCATATTAATAATCAATAACATGGACCAATCCTCCATCGATATTACTTATTCAACTTAGTTTCTGATTTTTGGATTGTTGTTCTAGTCTTCGATGTGTCTATGTAGTGACAATGTTTTCGTGACAGAAACGTAAAATTTGTTGTGAAATCAAATGATGATAATAAAGTGAAATTAACGAAAAGAATGATAAGAATGTAATTTAAAAAATCATACAACATAGAATTTACGTGGTTCGAGAATTTGTTTACATCCATGAAACTACAGGGATTTCACTATTATGAAGAAAGAATGTAGAGTGTTTCCGGCCGTACAGAATCAAGAACCCTAATCACCAAAATAATAGTTTTTATATGTCCTGCGTACAAGGCTACAAAACGGGCTCAAAAATTTTCTCGGGGGCAACCATGAGTGCCGATAAGCCCATGAAATAAGCCATAGAGAATTTTCTATTTAAAAACACACAATATTATTTCGGATCGAGTCATTATCTAGATCACACACACAACTAGACTCCACCAAAACAAAAAAAAAACCCCTACAAAATTGAATGTTCATCAATTCATAAGACATCGCCTTTTGAGTTGATTCTTAAAAAGGTAAAAATCCCAATTGATGTGCCCTTTAGGTCTTAAAACCGAGTACATTTTGTTTCAATAAATTTTTCAAGTGTCATTGAATGATATTTCACCAAATAATATATACCAACGCTAGAATTTTACATTTTTCTTAAATAAATTCTCCCAACTATATTTGAAAAGAAATTAATTATCCATAAAGATAAAGTTAACTTTTTGAGTATGATGCCTGATTAAGTTTATTACTGGTTGTATCCTAATAAATGTGTAGAAAGTTTTGCTTGTCTTACAATTGAGAGAGGAAAGGAAGGCCTTGTTTGGTTCTCCGAAGTTTAAAAATTGGTCAGAATCTGATCTAAAAAGTTTTATGCGCTTAATAGTGCGGTGTTTAAGGGAAAGAAAATGACCAGACATATAGGCTCTTTCCTAATACATGAAAAAGGCCAATCAACGCGCTTTTAGCACTTGTCTATTGACTTGGGGCATTGAAGCTCACCTTAAAAACAAGAAAAAAGGATGAACAAAATGTCCAAAAAAAAAGAACTAGCCAAGCTTCTTCACAATTATTTATAGGATGGATGAATGGATGAAAAATGAAAATGATTAATTATTTTTTTTTGTGCTTGCTAAGATAGAAAAAATATTTTATATTTTTAATCATTGTATTTATATATGAAATTAATGTGTACATAATATATGTATATATCAAATGATATATAGACAAATAAAATACATTTCAACACAAATAATTAACTTTTCATCTAATTTTCTTCCAATTTTGGAGGGATTGATTTTGGTGAGTTAAAAGAAAAGGTTATTCATCCACTTTTCATCTTTTCTATTTTGTTTTCTTACCAAACATGATGTTTTTGTAACGCCCCAAAAACCCCCGTGGGTGACATTACATTCTAAAAATCATTTACCGTATGAGAGCATTAAGTAAAATTCATCACGACGAAAGTTTCATTCATCAACCATTCATATTTTAACAAAATTTGGGCAGAGTCTCCTTTGTACGGGGAGCTCTACCCAAAACACAACCTGTACAATTATATTACAATTGACCACACCGGGTCCACATATGCATAACTATTGACCACACCGGGTCCATTTTTCCATCATAAAATAAACTTGCATTCATCATATGTCATATCCACACTATCATCCCAAATTAATAGGTCTAATCTTGGCCTTTACATCTCCAAAATGTAATAATATAACGCAGCGGAAATAACAGAAATGAACTAGAGTTCAAAAGGATATTCTAAGCATAATCTAGTCTAGAACAAAATAAAAGTGTCGCTCTAAGCGTCCACCTCGGGATCCACATCCCCGTCAAGCGGAGTCTTCCAATGGGTGGGCTCCTCGGCTCCTAACTCCTCCTCAAGTGTGAAATCTGAAAAAATTTTATTTGTAGGGGGTGAGCACGAAGCTCTGTAGCAAAATCCTCTCAACTCAAACAAGGTTTGAAAAACATAGCAAACGGTCGGTCTCATTTCACAACTAACATATATATAGGTTTGGAATGAAAACAGTGACATTTTAAAAGAGATCTCAAGTTTAAACAATAGCAATAATCAGTTAAAAGAATAAAGTGAGTTTAGCATCGATAAACAAAATTCTAATTTAAGCTATTTAAGAAGGGCTTCTCCCTAAGCATTGTCCCATACCAATGCATCGGCAAGAACGACCCAACTCCCGATTCCATGTATTTTTGGTTCATCCCCGTACCATGTATGTTGATTGCTTCTCGTGAATCTACCTAACGATCATGCCTAGTCCACCAATTCCAACCAACAATCACAAATCTCTTTAGGAAGGGCGTGTACCGTCTCCTACGGCATTGACGAAATCCTCCCAAGGTGTCTAGTATACTAACCCTTTTCCTCGGTGTATATGTGAACAATAGTGATCGCGAGCACAACAACGATCCACTACGAGCATTAGGCAACCATCTCACCCCCCATTGGGATAGACTAACCTCTAACACTCTACGGCATCTCTCGAAGGTAA